ATTATAAAATATATAATCACAAGTCAATCAAATAATTGTCTATGAAATGTAATAAAAAAGTTTTTTTTTATTTGACATAAACAATCTATACAATTTTGCACAAAAAGTTTATATGCTGAGAGTAATTAAAAGACATGAAAGTTTTGAATTAAGCAATTCCCCATTAGTGACTCTTGGCTATTGATTAGCTAGTTTTTTATAAATATATATATTTTTTTGGCCTGTAAAAAAGTAAATAAAAGTTTATTTAATTAAAAATCAAAATCAACATAGTTTATTATGTAATAAATAGGTAAATAAATCAATATAATAATAATGTCGTTAATCAAAATTTCGGTCAAAAATTAGGTTTATATTTATCCATAATCGCAATTATATCATTTTTCAAAATATCATATTACAGGCCAGGTTCCCTTATAATTAATATACTTCGGAAAACCTCTGAAAACGAAAAAAAAATTCTACTACCTAACCATATAGTGGGACGGGCATAAAACTGCCCCCCCCCCCCCGAATTGTTATCTACGTTAAAAGGTATAATGTAAACTGCGCCCAAATTGTTATCTGTAAGTTAATATTCATGTTAAAAAGTACAACTTAAGCTGTGCCCCATTTGTTAAATATATATACCGTTATTATAATCTTTGCATCATTTTTAAATTAAAATTGTATTTTTTGGTCTGTTGACAGWTGGACTACTATATTGTGCTACTTATATCGTGTTTATTTCGAGTATACTGTTAAAAATACCGAAAGATTAACCATTGAGGATTGTATTTATATTGTATTCAAATACTGGACAAGACTTCACTATAAAGTGCCTACCTACTAAGCTAATTAGAAATAATAAATTACTAAAAATGCATTAAATTCACGGTCTATATTTTTATACATTAACTACTTTTTATGGGAGTAAATATAATATTACGTGCAAATGTGTTGTATTTAAAATTATAAGTTATAAATACAAATTGCACTCCATGGAAACCATATATTATGTAGTGTGTATTCGTGTATTCATAAATGAAAAATTCATAATATTATTATTATTATCAGAAACATATTTGGTGACATAATTCAATAATCTTATCGACATCAAATTATTCAAATTTAATTTTATAATTATAATTATATTATATTTCATTTTATTTTATTATGTTATTTAACTCRCATATTTGAATTATTTTCTCTAAATAAATAGTTCATTAGTTCATGTCTCCCGGTATTTGTAAATGGAATACAGCACTGTAGTTTGAAATACTGAATTTCGTATGTAAATTTAAATAGTGAACCTCGTCAGTCATCAACTGTTTGGTCATCGAGAACAAATGTAGATTTAACGATATTCGGGTAATTAAATTAAGTTAATTTAAATTACAAAATATCAGTGTATTAGTGTATACTGACGAATGAAAAGATTAATAACAAATAAGTCATCATAGCATGACTAGGTATGCTAATAGCTAAACTAAGCTAGTACAACATTTTATGACGAATTGAGTCCCTGGTTATTTTAGATGTAATACTAATTGCGTCCATGATTTAATACTGAGTCCCGTCAAATTAAAAAAAAGCATTTTCCTTCCCATTTTTACAGATATAGGACTGTCTGTAACAAGAAATTCTACAAGTATGGTTAAAATGTTAAAAATGTTTTACAAGTAGGTATATTGTATAAATTAAATAAATATAGATGATAAAATAACATGTTTTATATTGGTAAAAATGTATGTGATAAGTATTGTACCTACCTATATATTTAAATATAGTTATTGTATTTGATTGCAACAGCTGCATTTAATTACTGATTTCTTTTTCTTTGATATAATTTCTTGTATTAATAATATGAACACTATTCTAATTCTTATATAGTATATACGTATCGCAATATCGGATTGTACATTCAACAAAATGTTTATAAATTGGTAAATTTTTGGCTGGGCTGAACAAAACATAGCATTAAATATAAATTAAAATTATATGAAAGTGATACGTATATAATATATACCTAATATAAGTATATCCATCTGGAGCGACGGCTGTGTGGCATAGTTTCCGCTGTGTCTGGACTCTAGATGGTTGATTTTATATTTTACTCAATAAATCCTCAACTCAATTTGTATACTATTAGTTTCCAAACTTCGGRCTCAATTAGTATATATATCCCATTTGTACCCGGGACTCAATTAGTATATTATTTTTTTCCGTTCAGGTACAGGGACTCAATTAGTATACAGCGCATATAGCATATTATAATGTCTAATGTTATACATTTATACAGTAAAAAGGTATACACTTATGAGTTATACAAAAAATAAGGAACCGAAAATCTTAAGTACACCTACTTACATAAACTATAACTCAATATACGTAACTGTTTACCTGTTTACAACATTATCACGGAGAGGTACACAACTTTGATTGGATCAGTTATAACTATTTATAAGTTATACCTTATATATAACATGATAAATGTAAAATATTAATTAGGTGTTATTTTAAATTACTCATATGATTTTAATTCAATTTATTTTCGAACTCTTTTGTTTACATGTTACGTCTAAAATTAATTTCCGGAATCTTAATAATGTTTAAAATAACAATCAATAAAAAAAAATCCAATTKATTTTTGATTCATTTGTTGTCATTATTTAAAATTGTAATTAATCATATTAATTAATATTAATACACATATGTATACACTATACACATATACATATGTATATTGTATATATATATAACTGTATTGTATATACCTACTTGTAAATACAAGTATAAACAGTTAACTAGGTAGGTATATACATTAGAGTTCAAGAGGTACCTATGTCCTATATAGCCATATATAGGTGAAGATGGCTATCTACGTAAAAAATGTGTTGTATATGTTGACTTTATAGGAAATAAGGAAAACATGACTTCTCTGTATTTGTGATTTAAAACTTTACGCAAATCTCATTAAATTTAAAGGCCAATAAAACGGTCCAGAGTGATGGGCACGTTTTCAAGAGTGTGGAAAAAAGTACACCCTGTTTCCTGGGACTGTAATTTTTCTAGTCCGTCTAATGGAAATTATATTTATATTAATACATCATTATTGTGTATTATTTGTGTCAAATAGTAAATATTTATGTTTTAATCATTATTATAATGTTTATTCTAAGCATTTATTACAGCTTAAAATGTATGTTGTTTTTATTAATCGGAAAATAATACTGATAATAATAAAAAAATATTTAAGGTCAACTATGAACTAGAAGTCTACAAAAAGTGTTTTGTGTTGACATTATCAGTGGTTGCATTGGGGGAGGGCGCTGGAGCTATAATTTTCATTTTTCTTTATATTTAGTGTACCCCTTTATTATATTCATCAAGGAATAGTTAAAATTAGATTAATTTGCTTTGGAATGCTAATTGTTCAACTTCATTTAGAGTCCACCTTCATTTTTTTTCCATTTCAACCAGTTCAATTGGACAATTGAATCTTAAATAATAGTTAGGTAAAGTAGATTTTGAAGAAATCTTCACTTTATTTTCAAACCTCTAATCTATGAGATAGTTATAGGTAATTGTATCTATATAGTATATTACAATTATTAATAAAATTAAAATCAGGAAAAAATGTTACAATAATAAAAAATATATTTTATTTTCAGTTTATATTTTATTCTTATACTAGTTATGATAGCTATTATAAATAGTGATATAGAAAGAAAATATGACAAATAAAATAACTTTTATTTTAATTAAAAATAATACCAAAATATTGATTAGAAAAAAATTTCATTGATCAGATCTTTCTGTATAGTGTATTATGTACCAACCACTCAATTTTTGAATATAATATTAGAATATTATGTGCAATAAAAAAGTTTTACAATGAAAAAAAACATAAAACACCATAGAAATCTTTGTGTTTATTTTAATTTTAATTACATCTACTTTTTTGTAAGAAAAGTTTACATTGGTTGTCCTAGAGACTTAAGAAGAATTTAACAATTAGATAAAAATAAGAAATATTGGAACAAATAGGTTTGTAGTAGGGTGCCAAAACCAAGTGTTTTTTTTTTCAAAATATGTAATTTGGCTTGTAATAAAAGTAGGCCAAATGGTCTAATATGCCACTTATAAAACCTAAATATTAGTGTATAATATTATTAATATAATCAAATGCAATACAGTACTTTCTTATACAATTGACCGAGACAGTGTGATGGGATCCTATTATATTATTTATGTACCCATGATAGAATGATCGCTATTATGATCAATCATTGTAATAATTCGTACTTTAAATAATTTTAAATATTTTAGTATCGCAATTCACCACCACCGTACTTGGTGATATTTGACATTTTGTTTAGTATCATTCACCGTTAGAAGCGCTAGCGACGCAAATGCTCGGAATCGCGTTTCTGGTGATTCCAAATGATTTTTGAGTTTTGTCCTGGTTTCATGGACAGGCGTTGGATCAATTTATTGAGAGTGAGACTAATTGGATCTTAATAATATTATATTAGTGTGCATCTCGGCCTACAGGACGTTCCAATAAAAAATCGACACCAACACGGCGGTGTTCACGACGACTCGGCTCGGTCTGGGACAATTCAGATGATAAATATAAATAAACTACTCGCAATTTTCTAATTTGTCTATAAATCAGTTATAGCGGGAATACATTTATAGACTTGGCATTGATTAAATAGTAAATACAACAGTTGCCCGCGATCGTCTCTTAAAAATCGTAGACTACACTAGTCTGACTACAGAATGCATAGAATGGTTGGGGTTGGTGTCGTTGGTGATTACCGATTATGATTATTAATCTGCAAGAGGTCGTGCCAGTCGCGGTCTGTAGGTGGTTTACAACAGGCCGTCATAGGCCCAACGACGATTGTGACGTCGCCATTACTTCTATGGTTCTGCATCGACAGCATCGTTGGTGTTACGACCGTGCCACAGAATACCAATGTTATTCCGTGACAGTACTGAATGCAGTTGTCAAAACATTTTCTGWAACTTTATTTTATTCCTCGTGACAAAAAATGTTTGCTTCTTCATATTTCTAATGAAGTAATGGCTAATATGGACGTTCCGCTTCAAATCTTCAATTACAATGTTTCTATGGGTTAAAAAATAATCAAGCTACTAGTTGTTTGTTTTCACGCCGAAGGGCGCGATTCTTAATGCGTTTACTGGTCGTTAAAAATAACATWACAAAACAGACGAATAATAATTGTAATTTGGAACAACAGTTGAAGTTTAGACGCGAATCGCGAATACCGCGTCACCGAGTACGGTCGTCCGCGGTGAGAGAGCGGCCTCTGCTGAACAAGCGTGTACAGTAAAGAACATAATATCAAWTACCAGGGAACAAAAAATATATTTTATAAAAWATTACAGAGTAGTGAGCTGCTCAGTGGTAGGGTGATGGGGCGACGAGTCTAGGGCTATCACGTATATTCAACAATAGATCAGACTGTGTCTCGAATTCTATAATCAATAAGACTTAATAAATACGTGTAAAGTATACACTGCGAACACAAGAGAACATATGGCCACCACCATCGAAATCTAACTCATAATATCAATCAGCTTCTCGTCGATCGCCAACGATTTTTATCGTACGGTACTACGATACGTAGGTCGCTGATTATAGTTCTGCTTGAGGACGAATTAACGTAATATTATTAAACAGTCGTACAATTGTATACGGAAAATCCTGATGGGCATGCTGCTATGGGTCGAGAGGTTATCATTGGGAAATTCAACATTAAAACCTTATCTATCACAAACACAATTTAATAATAATAATAATAATAAATAATAATCTTAATTCATATTCGAGTGTCGACACGTTCAAGAGTTTAAGACCAAACACCAAACGGCAATTACTCGGAACTCTGAACTTATTTGATTACAGCCGTGTGGTAAGTACGTGTTTACGATTTGAATTTTTCTTCAAACACATCGTGCATGCTTTATTCCAATACTAACTCTCCGTGCTAGCATATTTGATACTTTCCAACGGACAAGAAATGGGAGGTCCTGAGAACAACAAATTTATTGTTAATTTACTATTTATCTATTTATGATAGAATTACAAAAACGTTTGAATTGATAATAATTGAGAATATTACACTTATGATTATTTTATTTCATATACTGTCTAATTCAATTACCACAGCCAATACTTCTCTGTTAAAATAGGTAGAGCTTGACATTTTAGCATGATGGTGYTTTTAACATCTGATATAATTATGTTTGATCTTATGCTAACATTGTTTCTTGTAGGTAGTTATTGCCTAGAATTTTTTTGACTTATTGATTTGTTTGATTCCATTATATAGTCTACCTGAATCATTAAGTTGTTTTTTTTTTTGTCTTAACCAGTTCATAAAGAAATTGCAAAATTTAGTTTCTCAAAATGTCGACAGACGAAGTGGAATCCGAAATTCATTTCATGAAAACTTATAGCATTATGAAATGGGATGARCTAATGTAAGCATACACTTCTTTAGCCAGTTTTTATTTTAAGGCATTGAGCTTCTTAAAATATGTAGGTAACTTATTTTTACCTTATTTTGATATTTAAGAAAGCTAAATGATGATCGTAAGTCGCTTGATCAGAAAATCACGCTTGGGTTGGCCACCAAAGAAGAACTGATGAAACAAATAAAAGTTGAATTGAATATGCTGGATACATGTCAACTTAAAATTGATGTGAGACTAAGTCAGTTGATATTATTTCAACTATTATTATTGTTGTTGTTATATTTCTTTTATAGCAAGAAATGAAAGAAAACGATACAGAGTATATTAACACTGAAATACTTACAATTTTATCAAATCGTATCAATGATATGTACAACAGTATGTTTCTACTGTTTCCTGTTGAAAAGTCAACATTAATTGAATATATAGAGTTTTGCTCCAATAATGTGAGTAAAAAAATTATTACATTAATGCCAGGTTGTTTGAGAATATGAAAAATAAATTAATTTTGGACCAATCATAGGCCACTAAATTATATTACATTTTTTTATTGTCTATTGAAAAATCTAGTGCATGCTTTAATGATTTTAGTTAGTTTATACTGAGTTATACTAAGTTTATACTGATCAGTGGTGCTAAGAACATGGTTTGATTCTGGTAACTGCCACTTGCCAGACCTAATTTAGGGGTTGGATTTTTGGTATATTTTATATCTATATTACTATATATTATATTAAATTATTTTACTTAGTAATATGGTAGTTTGAATTAAATTTTGGCAAGAACAT